CTGGGGAATTTTGGGAGTTGAAGTCCACGCATCTTAAAGTTGCCAAGGTTGAGAAACACTGAGCTATAGTGCACTACAGTATCCAATACACTTCTGACAATTAATCGGATTCAGCTGACTGAACCCATTTACTTTCATTCTTTTTAAAAGCTGAACTGACTCTAACCTATACAGTTTCAACCTGTTGTGCTCAAGCACCGCATCAGGTAATAGCCCAACAACCTGCATGCTACGGTTAACTTTTCATTCAAATTCTACTGAAGTAAATTATTAACAATTCATGGTAACATTTTCCTGGAACTATAAAGCAAATAGCACAAAAACAGTCCTTTGATGACAAACAAAACCAGGTAGAGTGGAAGGCAGTTTAATAGTACATTTTAAATACAAATTATATCGAAGTGCAAGAAAAGGGTTACAGCCTTGAAAATATATCAAAATTGTGGCTGTTTTGTAAGAACTGCAATAAACACTAATTTATTTCACAAATTATTCATGTATAACATATTAAATAGAAAATACCTACTAAATTTCACATAGAAAATATGACTACAGTTATAAAATACTGAAAATATTTAAGCACCAGAATATTAATATTTGACATAATTTTTATGGATACATCAGGAAAATATTCAATAAAGTGCAGTTACTTTCATTCCAACTTATGGTAATTATTTTCTAAAAATATTTTAAACATTTAAGACTAGAATAATTCTCTATTTTATAATTCAGGTATCTTGCTGAAGAACATTTAAGTTATAAATTTATTGAAAGCACAGATGTTTCAGATTTGAGATGCGAAACAAATGATTCAAACAGGTTTGGCTTCCTTATGGAAATGAAAGTAGTGTTTTTCTTTAATAGAGAAGATAACCTGAGTGAACCCCAGAAAATTGAGTAGCTTGTGATCAATTGCTAAAAAATGATAAACCAGTACAGAATAGCTCCAGGAACACAAAAGGTAACACTGGAAAGATCTTTCATTATTATATAAGTATCATTTTGTCTGGATTGAAATTGCCCTGCAAATTAATATGCATTTTTCGTTTATATTGATCAAAATTCTTAGTGAGTTTCAGTATTTCTCCTGTGTGTCTATGACTAGAAATAAGGTGAACTAGACTCAATGAAAGCAGGACAGTATTTTTTTAAACAGGGTCTTCCAAAATTTTCTTCTGTAACCAGCAGAACGAACACATCAGGATTATACCCTTAAAGTTGCACATCCAATGTAGTTAAGTGCACAAGCCTATTGAAATCATATAAGCTTCCATGAATGCATTAAAAGTGGCCTAATTAAATGGCAATTACTAATCCAGAAAGAAAACAAAAAAGGAATAAATAGTACTATCAAGATATACATTTGTGATAGGAGTTGCATTTTGTAACAAAAATGTGCTTTGCTGTGAGTGTTGGTTCCACTATTGTCTAATAACCTCCCTACATATGGAAATTTTTGGGTAATCTGAGTTTTTTAAAATAAAAAATAGGAATACACTGGGAATGTAAAAAAAATGTCTCTGTGCACAAATGAGAACTGCTTGGATATGATATGCTTTGGATTTATGTTTTACAATATTTTGCAGCGTGACAAAAACATTCAGAACTGATTTTAAGGCTTGCTTCGAAATATGTATCTATGTTTTGTCTCAGCTTGACAAGATCTAAAAAAAGATTCCATACTGATAGATATGGATAGCTGATAGATAATTATCAGCTTCTGTGAATTTTCATGAAATGGTAAGCCTAATTGAGTACAAGAAATATTTAAGAGATTTGTATACATCTTAGAGTAGAACTAAAATATTTAGAAATTACGGTTCTTTTCATGAATCTTCCTGTATACTTTTTATTCCAAACTGTAGGAATCATAATTTATGATATTCCACCAGTTATCCCCAAACTACACGAAAATGTATTCAGTATACTGCGTCAGGAAACTGACATCACAATGTGGTTTTAACTCTGTAGAGAGACTCTCACTAAAAAAGAGGGTACTGAGATCAAAGTACGGTATATAGCACCTTCTTGCATGAAACAAGCTACAAGAGTCTTATAAAAGCAAGCTTACTAATATCTTTGGAAATATGGGAGCCACTTGGTATAAAATAGTTGCAACGTTTCTGGAAGATATAAGTAAGAATCGGAAATGAGTTCTTCAGTTTTAGACTGTACATACATGGACCGTGGTCCATAGACATCTGGACCACGTATGTAAAGGAGAGTCCAGTCTGCTATTCCCCAGTTACATTTCAAAGGAAATGTTACATTTTATGCACTAAATTAAGCATTTTATCTTGTATAACTTCTGCATGACAGAAATAAAGAGAAACGATGTTGTTGCTCTGTAACAGCTACTATGGTGTCCAGTGGAAAGACTCTCATTAGCTCATTTTTCTTGAATTGCAATAAATTAACAAAGTCATATGTGCTGGTTAAAGGCATAGATCACATTGTTACTTTTTTATTTTTTAAGAAAACCTAAATAGATTTCACTTTTGGCAGTTAAGCAGGGCCATAGAATAATACTGGTTCTTTGCCTTTTTCTAGCACAACTGCATAGATGTGACATTATATTTGGCTTCTTAGATCATACAACATAAAGAAGCAAACAATAAGCGGCTAAGAGAAAGATTAGGAAAAGTGTAAGTTGTTGGAACCAGACACAACGGTCAAGCTGCTCTTGAAGTCTTTTATTAGCTTGTAATAGTTGCCTTAACTGGAAAACAAGAGGGGATAGAATTAGAAGATGTTGTCAACAAAGGGGTTTTTTTCCCACTTAATGTTGTCTGCAATTTACCAATATACTATATAGTTAGGATATAAATATTTGAAAACAATTGTAAATCTTATTAAAATCACTGAATTACATAAATAAACCAATTTATAAAAGAAACAAGAAAGAATAATTATTTTCAGTAACATGTATCAAAAGTAGCAGTTTAAGGAAAGCCATCATCTTACAATTTAATCCTTTGGGTATATGAAAACAAAAAACAATTTGGAAGTATAGATGCTGTATTGATTCTGATTTTGGACATCAGAATTATTTATTCTTCATTTAAAAAGAAAAACAAGCTTTGGAAACTCCATTATTCTACCCAAATCAAATCCAAACAGAAAATACCAGTTTTAAGGGTTGCTCATATAAAAATTGCTAAGACCAAAACTTTTTTCAAGTATGATTCTTCTAACTTTCTATTGCCTTATCTAGAAAGTGATGTTAAAGGATTTTGTTACTAAAATACGTGAAAGAAAGAAGCCTAGATCCTACAGGAAACTCTTGAACTTCACGATGACGAATATTGTATATGTGAATGAAGGGCATGTTTTGAACATTCAATCATCTTAGAATGAATCTGTTTTTTACTTTTGGAGGGGGGGAATCAATTTCAAGGTGATCAGGGGAGGCATTTTCTATGTTTTAATATAAATGCATGTTTAGTTTAAGAATGAAATTCTACAGAAATGTATCTAATTTAAATTCTGGAAATCAGTTAAGAACAGAAGCAAAGAATCTAGAAGTTGTATGTGTGTGTGTGTGTG